TTCCTTAGTAATGTCTGAAAACTTGAGCTATATATCTATTGTTACGAACCCGGGCCGTAGGAACGCGAGAGGCCGACGAGTGTAGGTTTTCCAAGGAATATGGTATCAGTTTATTACTAAAGTGCGCGGACGAATCTGACGCGAAGCCCGAGAGCTGCTAGGATGTTTGAAAACGAGGACGAACCTGATGCGAAATCAGGGAGTCTCTAGGAATGGAGTCACTTGCGGACGAACCTGATGCGAAATCAGGGAGCCGTTAGGAAATGTTAGTTAGTGCCTCGTAACCTTTGAATTTATGATTAATACAACTCGAGCGGTAAAATTGTATTAGTGTGAGAACGGTCGAACTGATATTATTCTAAACTAGAAGAAACTAGTATATCGATAATACTACAGATTTCTGGATCCTGTTATGGATTCAAAATGAACTACACAGATTTATAAAATAACAGTATAATTAATCAGTCTTTGGTTACAAGTGTGTTGTGTAGTGTTGTCGCGTAGTAGTAAGTTATAATGAAATAATAACTATTACCGAAATAAATAGGTGCTCAGTGTTAACGCACTGGCGATGCGGGGGTTGCGAGTGGATTTTACGGAATAATGCCAAAGTAATAAAGGGTGCTCAGTGTTAACGCACTGGCGATGCGGAGGTTGCGAGTGGATTTTACGGAATAATGCCAAAGTAATAATTCCAGCCGGAATACAAATACAGTGTTTACGGTTTATTACAAGGTTAACTGGATTCGAAAGTGAACTTTAGCCCGATCTCACTAACGTAATAGGCGAGAGTACAGTGCTGATCCCCCGAGGGTTGAAATTAATGGGTTTATATACGCCTAGAAATTGGTGGGGATGCTATAAAAATTCCATATAAGGAAATTTTTGACGGTTGAAGTTGTGTCACGTTTCCTAGTTTTTTGGTTACCACGCCTTGGGAACGGGTTTTACTCCCTTGCTTACTCAAGAGATAGCGCAAACGTAAGGGCGTATTCTTTTGATGGGTGCGAGCTCAGACTATTAGAGCGAGAGGTATGAGAAAAAATTCTTCAGACGTAACAATACACCGTTTTATCGAAACTCCATCTACGGTACCAGATATATGTCTGTGGGCTTTCAGGGGAAACAAGTTCTTTTAATTTTATATGAAAATAGACCAAAGGAACTAGTACTTGTCGAAGCCGATTTTGAAAATATCAATATTTTACAAAATGGCAGCTGTTTGAACTTAAACTTGTAGTTCCACACATAAATTTTCAACATCTTTTGTTACTAAGGAAAGAGAAACTGTATGAATCAAAAGTTTCCTTCGTCAGGTACTAGATTGTAGTCCTAGGAATATTACCACAACGTTTGATCCAAATTGGTTCAGTAGTTCTTTAAATATTTGTGATACCGATTTTGAAAACTGCATTTCGAGTAAAACGCTTTCAAACGGCACCCATTTGTTTGTGTTAATAGATACATAGCTCAATTCTTCAGAAATTACTAAGGAAATAACATATAATAAGATGTATATGCTCAATTTTTAATAAACAATAATTCTGCGTATCCAAAAATATTTTTAATTCTCCCCCTTATTTAACAGCTCAAAGGTATGTAACCTCTTAAATTATTCCTTTTTGAACAACGAAATGTTCCGTATTCCGTGACATCTTCGTGAGCACGGATACTAGAGGTTCTACTATAAATTACTGACAATGTTTGTGTTCAATTTTGATTGCCAATGATAAACTGCACACACGAGATGAAACGCTTATTGGACTGAAGACTGTATATTCTTTAATTCGTTGTTTTACCGCAGAAATCTTCAAATTCGTTTGTTAGTATGCTACACAGGTTAGCTATAAGAAGTCAAATACCTAAATGAAGTTAAAACTGCATGATGCCATTTATCAGACACTTCGATAACCCTTCACATAATCTTGGAAATAACATCAAACAAAAAATTTGTTCATATAACACCGCCACCTTTGCCACCTTGAGAAGCACAATTTTCGTCTTGGACATATTCTCCCATCTTCAATCCCAACAGAGATATTCAACCGTTCTGTTTTTTGGGTATAGTCCTATACAGTACATCGTCAATAAGTGTTCGAAGGCTCCTCGGCACTGAACATTAAATATTTCATAAACTAATGGCCACATTCGACTGAAACGCATATCATTGGCTTCATAATTTCAAGCTCCATCAATGTGCTAAACCTCATTAAAAAGTCAGCTTTACACTTGGGAACCTTTCCTTGTCAGTGCCGAGGTGCTTTCAAACACTCATCGAGAATTCACTGTATACAATTTTACTCGCTGAACTGACGTAATCACAACTCATTCCGCCCCAAAGACAATAGTCTCCTGGAGGGCTGCCGTTCCACTAGGTTCACTCACTCTGCTAGACCTCTATCCACACTCTTTTTCATATTCTTGGGACTTGGTGTTGTTTGCGATTTCACTCGTAACATATGTAATGCTAAGATTTTGCAATGGCCATGGTTCGGCACCCCCATTCTGACACGAACATTGTACTCCATTAGCATAATACTAATATTTCTTTTTTTAATTTCTTTCCTTAAGGGGAGAGACTCCGCGAGCCGTGAGCTGTGTCCGTGCGCCCACACAAACAGCGGGCACCGTGTCTGTATACGCGATGCACGAGAGAGACAGTCGATTTCGTAGAATCCAACTTCTGCCTCGATAATTGCACAAATGAAATTTTCACGGGTATAGTACTCACGGGTAGACTTCACTACAGGGTGGTCTGGTCCTTAAAAACACCAATAAACACCATACGTTGAAGGAATTAGAATTTTAGATATTGTGCAATTGTGACAGACACCGATGAAGCACACAAGATGGCTGCTCAAGTCACATCTTGTCAAATATCACTCGATTTAGTTGTTTTCTCGTCAAACGCCGACCAGACCACCCTGTACACCACTGTCACACTATCGTAGAAAGGCAATTTTTAGTAAGTTATCACTCGTGGAAGGCGTAAATTGGATTCTACGATTTGACGCGTCCAGACTCAGGAATATACAGTGGTATAGTTTAAGGATTCTCCGTTAGGGGCGCTTATGGTATTTGTCAGTCACTTTGGCCATGTTACCATATTACCTTAATATTTTATTACGCAAATGTTTAGAAGAATTCACTTAGGTAAAAAAATATTTTTATTCCACAATGTTTTAGAATCATTAAAAAGAAAACAATTAATCTTGAAAACTCAGGATATCCTCGACCAACGAAAAAATTATTACTGCAAAGTAATGCCCTTTCCATACTAAACAACTTGTGTAAATAAACTTTTCTGATATCTCCAAAAATAACGAAAACAATGAAGATGACCGTAAAATGCGTATATCCAGCCCACCCTATATGTGAGTGCGTCGCACCACTGAACGGCCGAATGTAGGGAAGAGAACGATCGCCTACTGTATGTGTTTTCGTTAGCGTCCGATTGTTTACATCAGCGCTTCGATCGATTCGGAGTTGGCCCCAAAGGAGTCTTTCCCCTTAACGCAGATATCGTTGGTACCTAACGTGTTTTCTTTCAAAATTTAAGCATCTATTCCATCTATATGCAGTTTATCATTAATACCAAAATAAAATACAAATGTAATGTTACTGATAATATATTCTACTTACACAGAAATCAAAGTACCCTCCGGTCAAAACGCTCGAAAACTACGTGATTTTCATGAAATTACATAAAAACAATGGAACAATATACGGTAAAAGCCGTCCTGAACATTATTACTGCATATTTAAGGAATAACAAAAAATGTATTGTTTAAATTATGTCAAGTTTTACATCAAATATGTAGCACTCATTGTACTTCTGTAGAAATTGTAAGTCTTGACGGGCGCCATCAGAACTCACGATAGGGTTGTCTAAAGTCAAAAAAACCCAGAATATTCATAAAATATATGTTAATAGCTATCGCCTTACCAATTTTTAATCCAAAAGAACAATCCGGCTATCTTCGGCGTGTGTTTAAACAGAATTCTGTAAAAAAACGGATATTCTAACGCATAAATTTTTCCATAAAACAAAATAAATGATCCAAAGTTAATCTCCGATGTAGCAAGAATTTTTGAAATCAGTCCATAATTAAACTTTTTATCGTGGTGCCTGTGGAAAAAATCGCGTTATGAGAAAAACGCATTTGAAGTTTTCTGTTTTCATTTATGAGTTAATCGTATGTAGGTATATATGGCAATGTCAAAGCTTTTTACCTACAATCAGCTATACCTACACCATACAACAAGCCTTCCGTGACTTCATGTTCCACTTCCAATTCACTTTGTTCTTTTTTAAAGCAATTCTAACTTCTTCTGACGCGCCCGTGCTACATCGGTTGAGTTCCGCGACGTGCCCTCAATCTCCCTTGATGACCAAATTTGTAACGTTACGACTAATATTAATGCCCAATACGTCCATAATTGTTAGTAAAGGTTTGCACGCTTTATAAACACACATGCCAAAACCCAGGCCGAAATGTTAAGACCGTTTCTTCGACGAAACTTGTTTTTTGGAACGAGCTCCCACATACAGTACCGGACAAATGTTTTCAGACAAAAACCGTTTCCTGTAGTATTTGAATCAAGGATACTACTGACGTTACATTAAATAATCAACGTCTGTTTTGTGTAATTGTTGTTTTCTTAGGTCGCCCATAAACGATATATTTTCTAAATGTCCTCCTCAAACAAACTGTTTATATTGTTGAATTTTTACCTCGTACCATTCAAGAATGGATAAAATAAAGGTATAATTCTAATGTTCTCGTGAAGTTCTTGTTTCAGATTACAAATTATGGCATTCTTGTGATGTTATACGATAAAAATAAAAAATAACAAAAAATCGATTTTTCAAAAAAGTTTGACCGGAAGGTACCCTGAAATTGAGCATTATGATAGTAAAAAAAATTCTGCTTTCATAGGGGATATTATTATATTACACCGCTATAGCTTACTTTTGTTTCGACAACTTTTTATGCATAATGAGTCAACATGTATGCGGGCAATTTCGTATACTTCAGTACCGATTTACGAAACTATACGCCTCAGAAGAGACAATGACGAATCTAAATGAAAACTATGCTGCTAAATCATACGTACAATTTAAAAAATGTGTACGACAGCATCAGGTACTTTTGAATTACTGCTGGAAGATGGAAAATGTATTCCCACTTGTCGTACTCGGACAGGTAGTTATCTTCAGTGTATTAATCTGCCTTTATGGGTACCAAGTATTACTGGTACGTATTAATGGTATTTATACCATTTTTTAGAATTTCTTAGTATCAATGACAAATAAATTGACGTTATCAAAATTATTCTACTTATAATTGGCTGTGATAACTGAATAATCGTAAATGTCAAGACAATATAATATGAAACCCTTGTTTTTCCGCTAATTCCGCTTAGCTCCTATCAGAAACCTCAAGTTTGCTCAATAAACATATAACATACATATGTACCTACGCTTACTGTTCGCACAACGTCGGAACTGTGTGAGAATAGTGATACCGAACGGTTATAACGTACGTTTGCTGTGTTACATATTAGACATAAGACGGTATTGTACCTCTTCGAGCTATGGTGACTTCGTAAAAAACAGCAGGGGTTTGAATCATTCACGCCTTTAAGTGTTTCGGTACCGGTTACGCGACCAGGAATGGCCAATGTATTTTACGGCTAGTGGTTGTTGAAAACGTACATTTTTTATCTTTTTAAACAGTTTGCATCCTATAAAGAAAAAAAAATTTCAAATTTGAAGGGTGTAAAAGCTATGGGTAAATTTACAATAAGGAAACCACCTCCCATTTCGATGATTCTTTAATATGTTGTCAAGGTCATCGTCAAGGTCAGACCCTGAGTAGTATTGTGAAGGTTTTATTTCGAACTCGTAATATCACGGCCGTGGTATTGATTATTTACAACATTAAATTCATTATGTCGAATATTCTACTTTTATAATGACCTGGAGACATAATTTGTGACATTTACGATACTAAGATTTGAATTATTATAATATAGTAGAAATGTTCGAATTTATTCCTAGTTCCTACAGAATTTGCCGTAACTAAATATCGTTGAAAAATACTATGCTTTGCGTCTTAAAAGCTTATTATATTTCAAATTTTGTGCACTAAACAATGTAACATGTTTTCGGGATCACACATTTGTAGGCGCAATCAACTTTCGCAAGACGTTTCATCTTCATATCCTTCTTGATAGGGAGTGGCTCCTTATTATTCATGTTTACGCACAGCTGTCACAAGTTAACAGAAGAAAGCGCAAATATTGGTGATGCAGTGTATTCAGCATCATGGACCATCATGCCAATGGACAAAGATGGGAAAATGCTACGGAACGATTTAAATTTCACAATATTGCGATCTAGAAAAGCTTGTTGCTTAACCGCATGCGGATTTTTCCCTGTACAGTTGCAAACTTTTACCACGGTAATTACCGAAATTCTTATAAATCCTGTTTTTCATACACACAATACCGTTAATTAACACTAATGACTCCGTACTTTGTTTCAAATCTGTTTCCTTCACGGCGTTACACAAGGTGGATCATTTAAATAAATCCCCACTAATATTTTTGAAATCGTTGATGACACCAAAAACTGTTTCAAATAAACGTTGAATGCTTTCGAGAAGGAAATACTTTGACATAAGCAAATTTTGTATAGATGGACGCGTAGAAGACACAAATGTCAAAACAAAATAAGGGCTGTTTAGCATAAATTGCTCGATACTATTTTTACAGAAAATGATATATATTATGTTATATCTTGTATTCTCAGAACCTCTTTTCATTGCACACTTTTATCATATTACTTTCAAACGCGAAGAACGAGCCAAAACCGTTAATTCAGCGACACGTGGAAGCAACGGGCGTGGTTGTCCTTCTTCGAGACGCTGACAGAAACGTCAGCGATTCTAAAACTTCGCTTCGGCGACCATCGTGAATTATAGCCTGTTGCTACCCCGTATCTTGCGCGTTTTCTAACAAAGGGAAGGGGGGAAGAACTTATAAAAGGATTGTTCAAAACCGGGGAAGCGCTCGGTATTCCGGCTCTCATTTACATCGTGACAGATTCGGCTCGTGTGTCATTCTTCTACGCCTTGTTCGTTCGCTCTTCGACAATCGCGCTCCGCTTTAATCTCTTATACGTGACAGCGGGTTGAGCGACAACGGTCACTCAGCTGTTCAGTTCGGGTTTCGCGACGATATCTTTTCCTTGTGCGACGCGACCTCGCGATTACGCGCGGCCTACAGACGAGTTTTATAAGACACCGGACCGCGAAGTGCAACGTCCGAGACGGCGACAACGTATCCTGCAGTGCTTAAGCTTAACAGGTTGAATGCCACGGGGGTCACCGGTGACCGGCACTTAACTTGGCTGTGACGCCATGGGGGCCACCGGTGACCGACGTGCCCGGATTGAAAAAAAAATAAGAAAGGTAGACAAAAGACAACACTTATAATTTCTTATTATTATCATCGTTGATGTAGTGGTCTGAAGAAATGAATGCAGTATAAAACATTTGAAAATAGTTTTATTTATACATTTAATATAGTTTTATTATGCGCGCACGTTACGATGTGTCGTATTAAAACATTCTAAACAAAGGAAGGGTGAACCAGCACAGTCTTTACAATATGTCACGACTTTTTTGGTACAGTTTTTTGCAATTATTCTTCCTAGCTTCTTTGAATTTTTTTGATAACAAATTTTGCAAAATCTTCGCGCCGTTCGAGCTTTTCCCGGCATTGCTTTTAATTCATGTCGTGGTTTTTTCAGCAACCTTTCATGTGGAGAAATGGAAACTTCAGCTTCATGATCACGACTGATTGTTAACAGTCTCAAAAATAATAAAATC